CGGCATGGCCAGGTGGCTAGGGATCTCGACTCGCAATCTGCGTCTGCGGGATCGAATCCCCGTCACAGCCGTGGGGGCGTTATAATGTAACGTTCAATCCCACTATTCGTTGGTAAAAGAGCAGCCCAAGAGTTTGCGGTGGGTGGTGATGCCTTCCCTCTAGTCTTACACTGCTAAATTAGGGAAGGCTAGCGCAGATAACCCTCGTGTAGATTTGGGCGAAATTAAAAAACAAAAACATTTCTTAAACGTGTTGTGTAAGCAACACAGTTTCTGAGGGGTTTGTTTGATATCCTAAAATAATTTACTTTCCGCAATTTGCAATTGAGTTCTAAATAATAATTTGAAACTAAAATGAAGTGAATATAGCTAACAATGTCGATTAAAGTTTTACAAACATGCTCATATATGATCGGAACGTTTTATTATAAACATTAGAACTATGAATCATATTTTGAACCCCACGTCGATCATTCGGTTAAATGAGACCATCGCTGATTAAAACATACTTCATATAATTGTTCTTGGAATTTATTATACTTGAATAATGTAATCTCACTGAAAAAACGTAACTAACGTATAAGTTCGAATAATATTATTATTTTCAGAGCTCACAAACAAAGCAGTTTTAGCCTCTTGATAAGAACTTTATGTTGTTGTTTTTTTTCACTTGTTTCTAAACTGGTAAAAGAGAAAAGTTAGTTATATCTACAACTGAAGGCAGTCTTTCAATTTCACTCGACTGTAATATAGCTGACAACGATAAGCGTTCGACTTTAAGAGTGAAACTTAGGTCCTCTAAGTTTTCTACCTCTCACTCGACTGTAATATAGCTGACAACGATAAGCGTTCGACTTTAAGAGTGAAACTTAGGTCCTCTAAGTTTTCTATCTCTCACTCGACTGTAATATAGCTGACAACGGTAATGGTTCGACCATAAGAATGAAACTTAGGTCCTCTAAGTTTTCTACCTCTCACTCGACTGTAATATAGCTGACAACGGCAATGGTTCAACCATAAAAATGAAACTTAGTTCCTCTAAGTTTTCTACCTCTCACTTGACTGTAATATAGCTGACAACGGCAATGGTTCAACCATAAAAATGAAACTTAGTTCCTCTAAGTTTTCTACCTCTCACTTGACTGTAATATAGC